GGGAAATCTCTCAAACATTAAATAGAAAATCTCTATGTCAGTAGAAAAGTTGATACGCCGAGGGGATCACCTGGTGGTTTATTTAAATAGACACAGCAATTTATACCGACGATATAAAAACACTTGCGCTCAACCAGTGTTAACACGCAGGTAAAAGGCATAGCAGACACGTTTGCGCGCAACTTTTCAAAAGATTTAGGTTTGAAAATGTCACTTACGGGAGTCTTACAGAGTGTCTGTCGCGTCTAAGGTAATAAATTCTCTAATCTTACTATAGCTTTACCTCTTACATATATGGTCTGTTCTCAAATCAAATAAACGCAAATGAACGCAACTTCGGGGACCAATTGTAAAGCACGAAAACGAGATATTTTCAAACGGTTTCCACTTATAAAAACGGTATTGCTCTGCTTTGCACTGGCATCGTATATGTCAACAAAAAACAGTCAGTAAATATTTATATACAGTTGAAAAACGATGTAGTAAAATTGCGAGCATGAGTATTTTGTGGCATCGCCTCTTGCTTGACGAGAGCTTCTAATGCAGTTTTTTCACTGTCTTAGCTCTATTCCCATACGTTCAGGATTTTTCACGGGAATCTGAAACATTTGTTACTGCTTACCCCATTGGATGCTACGGTTTTCCAGAGGTGCTCTGTGGGATGAAGGTCTGCCGAATTGGCGAAGCATCTGAGCGTAATTGACAATAAATAGCGTAGATACTCTGAACTCTTTAATAGGATGCCTCATCGCGCATGAAGATGTAGTCACCGTCAGGAAACCATTCTCATAACTGGGGCAGCATTATGGGCTTAATAGTCACAGCACATTATACCGCCCTTCTAGTAGTGTCTGTGCGAAATGCATCAGCCCAGTGTATTTGCCAGAAAGCATTACAACTTTTGATAGATGTTTGATTCTAAGCACGATGCAATTTTCGGAAAATCGTTTGCAAACACGTTTGAAGGTAAAAAGGGCTTTCTTTTGTTAATAGTGTTGACATAAGACTAATATGAGAGATAAATTTTCTCCTGGTTGCAACAACGTTTTGCTCAATCAAAACGGCCATGTTTCGTTCGAGCATTCGACCGAAATTTCTTGGCAGGTATACATCCGTTGAGGCTCAATAATCTCGTAGGGTTTTTTTTTCGAAACATATATCACCAAGCAAGTTTTAAATTATACAAAACAATCTGCCCCCTTGCAGACACAGGTATGGATTGCGTTAATCACGCAGTCCCAGTAACAAAAGGAGTTCGGTCCTGCCAAAAGGAAGTGTGGCGTCGAGGTGACTGGCGTCCTCCTCGACGTTTCCAAAGCCTTTGATTCATACGAGAAGCAACGATCAGAAACAGCATCACGAGGTGTGCAGACACTCCCTAACTAACGGTGCTAGTATATTCTCGTTTTCCAATAACACTAACTTACCTGGTTATAACGTAGTCTCACCCATGCAGTCGTCACCTCTCTGTTTACTTGGTGTGAACGAGGAGGTAGAAGCGGATGCAATTTTGAGAATGAATGGTATTGAATCATATATACAAGCGAAAAACATGTTCATTCAGCAAATTCATTCAGACGATGACCGCAAAGTTGTCCTGATTTATTGACTTCTGAATCTCACCTATTAGCCAGCACCTATTTCAAGGCCTGCAGGTTTAGCAACGTTTAAGGTAAGCGAGACAACTGTATTGTTGTTACATATTCACAATAGATTTCGCTATATATTTCTGTGTCTTCATGCGCTTATCGTGTTTTCATTCAAAGCTTTTGTTGTGTTTTTAGATTGTAGTCTGAAGATCAGACTCATCCGAAGTCGATGCCGCATACGCTCAATTCCGAGAACTCGCTATCAACAACGTAACTTAACGATTGCTTACGTGCAGTACAGTGATCAACGTTTTCTAATTCTAAGCTTATAAGAGAAAAGCTTACCGAACCTAACATATAGTGGGAACCTTAGGCATAATACAGTTTACTCGTCAAACATGGCCAGAAACGGGTAACAATAACAGCACCAAACTACCATTACCCATGGGCCAAAAACCTTTACGTATATTAAGCTGTGCACCCAAGATAGCAGACAGGATTCCTTTACATGTTATAGCGAATAGAGCGTATTTGTCTCAAACAAGCAAAAACATACACAGGTTGAATAATAACATACATCGTATATAGCCAACCTATCTCCCAATCTAATGATAAAGTCTTACACAAGACCGAACCAAAACAGTCATGCATGCTTCTCGCCTGTCACCCACACTGTTGTATTCACTTCTTGCCAAATCAAAACACCCATCCGTGCTTCCTTTTTTCCGAATGACACGAGTAGTAAAACAAAAAAAATAGATATTTTTAGGCTATTAAAAACTAGAGACAGCAAGTAGATTTCAAGTGAGAGATCTACATAAAATCATTACCGCTACGACGGCGGTAATTACCACGCTTTTCTGTGATGCTGTATTTATATATGGACTTGATATGATCCACTCTTCGTAGCTTTGTTCGAAGTTAGCTGATGCGCGGAATAGGGTGTACCATCGAATGAATAGACGACGTCAGGATTCGTGACTCTTTCCGAGTAACTAAGAAGGAGATAGAACGCGCAAACGCAAATCGCGACAAGTCGGCATAAATATTAACGTCAGTCGGTAGGACAGTAGTGGCATAAAGAGATGGACGCATAAGTGGTGGCTTCAGCCCTCGACCGGGCCCTGGACAATGCTACGTTAAAGCTGCTAACTCACACTGCTTGCTTCGACCCTGGGGCATACACAGAACTCTAGCGTAGCCAAGATCGGCACTCCTTTGTAGCGGAAGTGCTATGTCAAGACAAGCTACATTCCCCCTGGAGAAAAGACGCTGTGCTAAGTATGTTATCATCCGTGCAACAGAACGATCCTGAGCAGGAGACTACGCACTTACCTCTCATGATCTCCTGAGCGACTTTCCGGTCTTGGCTGGGCTGGGGGATACGACAATGCTTAAGAGGAGTTTGTTGCTATGCTCGAAATGTATGCCCTCAATTTAAAGGCGTGTTTCTTTTTTCTTTTCGTTCTATCAGATTTCTTTTTATCTACTAAGCTATTAAAATTGTTAGCTTTAATTGGCCCGATGTCCACAGGCTCCTAGGAAGTTACTTTCGATACTACTTAATGCATTGGAAGTGCATCCCTATGCGGTCCTATGTTACATTAGACCGCTACTGAAGATACGGAGCTTTGTTATGTCTGCATTACAACAGTTTATCCAATTTCCCTATGGAGTGCTCCGGAGTACGCCGATGCAAGAACTTTGCTTTGAATCCTTGTGCAAATATCTAAGCTTGGAGAAATGAATTACATCTTTACTGTTTTGGGATATTTCAGTGGCGGCGCACCAGAGCGGAAATTACCGGTTATTTCTGAGCCTACAGATACTACATTTCTGGGCATGTTTCAGCCGTCGAATACCAAATTACTGATTCAATATCTTCCTATAATACGATTTAATTTTTTACATTTATTTTACTCCTTACCTTATAGCGATTTAAAACCTCATTGCTACTCCGTTACGCGGGTTGTCACGTCCGCTTTATTATAGACATTTACGTCTAGCCTCAACGCTAGAGCTTCCAGAAAGGAACTAGTAAAATTTTATGTAATCCCACGTATTTATTACAATGAGATGTTTAATAAAGAAAAAAAAAAACAGTTTAATAACAGGCGAACACCACTCCCCGTCCGGAAGACCACTGAAAATATGTTTCAGCCCCACATTGCATTTTTGTACATGACTTACGCCCTTACGCGTAACGGATATTGCTTCACACATGAGTGTTTTTCATATCTGCATACCGGCCTAAGTCCATTATATCAGAATCATCTACAAGGACATGCTGACTCACTTGTCGAGAGAAAAGGCCTTAGTTACCTGCAGTGTCCGTCCACGGCGGGCCCCTAGCATTTCCACGTCCCATAAAATTAAAGGCTTCATCCAGGTTCCTTCGATGAACCATGTTATCAGAGCAATAGTATGGTAAAAGGACTCCTTTATGCAGTATGTCGACAAGCTCTTTTAGGGCTGGGCAACACGGTACGAGAATATACGTGACCGTATACAAGACAGCTGCAAATATCGCAACGGTCAACGCCACCGTGATCAGCAAAAAAAGCCAAATCAGCATCCAAAAAGCACCTAAAATGCCTTGGACAGCCATCTCTAGCTTTAAGTGCCGCAATCTATTCGCCATAGCACCGTGCTTCGGCTAACGCTATAGCTGTACTAAGGTTCTTTTTGAATCGAAGCAAGTGAAGATCATACACAGGACTAACTTAGTAAAACGTCTTGGTTGCTAGGGCTGTTGGAATCATTCGTATAGAATATTCCGAGCTGCGAACTCCGTCAGGTCTCACGTACGCTCATACTGATGTATCGCAGTGGAAACGTAATGCCGTTTGGTCATTAGCCTATATGATGAGCACAACCGTGGCCTGGCTTTCATCGTCCGACCCACATTAAAGAGAGACAAATAACACCCATTAAGCACTTCCAGCACGTTATAGATTACGGCTAAAACTGTATTCACGATGTTAATAGTTACGATGTGTCAACCTACATCGTCGTTTCTATCGGAATACGAGGATCTGGAAAATTCAATGGATCCATACTTTGATATCCTGTCGTTCCTAGACCTAAAACTTGGTGACGTTCGTTCGGACACAGCCATAGATCTCATACGTCCCCAGAAGCGACTAACCTGCCTAGCTACGCGTCAAGCAATGTTCCAGTGTAGATCTAGATGATTATGGCACGTTTTTTTCAAGGTTCTCTATATAGCGGCTTCAAATGAAAATCACCGCGTCTAACATCGGAGTTTTCTGCGTAAAATTGAATTTACTACTGTGCTTTTTTTATGCTTTGTCGCTAATATTTAGCTAGTTAGACTAACAGCAGACGCAATTTAAAGTCACGTTAACTTATTAACGTTATTTTCCGTAAAATGAAAACATACATTTCACATAAGATTAATCTAAACTCGATTCTAATTTGCCTTGGCTTCTGATCATTATTCTGTTGGCGTGAATTAAATACACGGACTCCGTCTCAAGCTGGATACCTGCTTCCAGCGGTTTCGCTCCTAGACCTGGAGCCCCTGGGGGTCGGATACAGAACGTTCGCGGAGCATGGAGTTGTTTCGTCACAGTCGCGGAGCGCGAATGTATAGTCGAAGCATATGCGAATCTCTTCAAGAACAGAGACCCCGTTTATTGTCCTACAGACCAGAGTGATGTGGACATCATCCAAACGCTTTCCCAGGGCTTTTTCGAAATCGGTGCGTTTATATAGGCCACTCTTTTTCGGTGTCAACTTGTTAGACTTTAATATATCGTCTAAATTAATGCGTTTGTATAATTCAAGTACCCTTTGAAAATACTTACGTATAGAATTCACCGCGTAATGACGTCTCCCACAAGTCCCATATTTCAACCATTGATAATTCCAGTTATCAACGGCTGATCTGTTCACGATAGCCGTGGGCCACAGTTCGTTCATTTGGTTGACGTCCAACTTGTCAAGATGATTGTAAATTTGTGGATGAGCGCGGCAATATGTATCCTCCATCCATAGGCCGCGTATTGTCCAGTAAGGTTTAAAATTTGATGTATTACATGGAGTATCATCGAAACATTTGCCAGGGAGCCATTGGAGAACAAATATGAATTCCGTCCCGTGTCGATCGATCGCCTGTTGGGTTAGGTTAGAACACTGCTTTTGGGCATACAACAAAAAGAGTTGCATCAAAAGGCAAATCAGTAGCGCAGACATCGATGGCTCATCGCTTCCAGGTTGCCACCGCCTTTGCCACCAGCTATGCCCGCCGCCTCGAATCAGTCCTCCTCGAGAGCGTGCAGCCCCATGAACACCATAAAACAGCCACAAGCATACGCTAAGCACCGCAAATACGACCGGCGAGGCAAGTTGTTTAATTATTGTTTCCATATCTTGAAGGTAAGCTACACTCGTATCGGTCACAGTACATCCAAAAGCAAAGCAATTTTGTTAATTACGTCGCCCCAAAGCATTGGATGTTAATTAATCAGTTTTCATCGACTGGGCTACCTTGATACAATGGCCGTTCCGACAGCCATTTAAAAACATGCCGTTTTAAAAACCGTCTTCGTTGTTCTAGGAGTTTGTACGATTGGCTGGGTCTGCGTATCTTACAAATAGTACGTGACCGTTAATGTGACGATTGACATGATCTACGTAAAAATACGATATCATAGAGCGTAGATTGTTCAATAAACGATAAATAGCTCTTATACTCTTCGTAGTCTATTCAATGACATTTTCAAATAATCTTAAACTCTGTTTATAATCTTTGAAGGTTTTCCACAGCGTAGAAAGAATATACCCCGAAACGTTTGTAATTACTAATAACCTAAAGCGATCAAAATAATAAGGATAGACGATTTCAAATCCCAGTTCAGTAGATGGAGTATTACCTGTCCTTGAATCAAGGTCTCTTTTGGCCCTAATTGTGCGAAACACCGAGTTGCTAGCACAGAAGCTTGTTCCAACTCAGGTTTTTACTCAGTTTTACTACTTTCTGATGAGTTGCCTTGGAATAGTAACTATGTCTAAATAATCTAACTTATAATTTTGCACTTTACATACATTTGCCCCCTACTATCTGAACTAAGTACATTTTCTTGTTAAACTGTTTCACCATAGTAATGTTACAGCTTAATTTTGTTGGAAGCAAAAATTGAGGCATTACAGCTCTCTTTTTACCCGGGCACATTAGTGTAATACAGAATGCCCTACTTGATTGAAAGCAGGCATCCTATAAGTTCCTTCTAATTATATATTTCATAGTGAGTCACTTCTCAGCGTAATGTTACTTTGTTTGCTGAAATGCACAGACGGCGCCGCATAAATACTGGGCTTCATTTAGCAAAGCATTTAAGTACGAAGGAGAATACCAGAAAGCCAGTATGGTGAAAACGTAGCGTGTTTGTGGGTTTCTGGCTCTAATCCTATACAAAAACGAAAACTTCAGTAAGGGAGTATCGTTAAAGACATGCAGTTAACTAGCTTTTAGATTACCTAGCTAAACAATTCACCCGCATCCATTGATCGTTACACGATTTTACTTTGGTAATTTTTGTTAAGTTGTCGATCAAAAAAACAGCTTCTTGCCAGCCTCTTTGCATGATATCTTACGAGCGTCGGTGTCACTCAAATTCTTTGTGTAGGCGTTCAATTATTTTCGTAAGTTCCTTGCTGGGAAACGTCGATCAGCGTGGTTTTCAGTGAGTCTCATCTGTCGAGTATAATACTATGATATTATTTTCCGTAGCCAACGTACGTTCCCAAATAATGCTTCTAACCTGGTTTGTCTTATGACGGCATCACCCTCTGGGGGCAAGCTTGTGGGATAATACCAAAACTTGTCGCCGCATTTAGTAAGACTGTCCTGAGGATGGTTTTCTGATCGGTTTTTTTCCCATATACGAGGCGGTTGCCACGTGCAGTCTTTCAAATTAAAATCGTTGTCGAAACAGATCTGAATCTCCGTGAGCACCTGGCCTGCCTTTCGACATAATATGACAGCCGTGTGCCCATTAACCTTGTCTAAAGCTTGCGCAAGTTCATTTAAGCTCAACCTTTTAGTTGTCGATGGATTAATACCGCTGGTATTCAACGTGCTGTCTATTGCTATCATTTCATACAACTGTATCGCCTTGTCAAAATACTTCAGTACAGAGTTTACTTCATGATGGCCTTTGCAGCATGTGCCATGCTCGAACCATTCTTCGTCCCATAGCTTTTCATCAGAGAAGGAATTCATGTACGACGGCCAAAGCTCGCGTAATTTCTCCTTGTTGAGAGATTTGAGATGTCGGTTAAAGTAGGAGATTGATGCGCAACGAGTCTCGTCTGTCATGAGGCTCTGGATCGTCCAATGGTTTTTTTTGGCTGTCACGTTGCACATCTGATGCTCGACCGTTCGGCCGCCGGCGCACACACCGGGAAACCATTGAAGTGACATAACAAACTCATCGTATTGGAACTCTGTATCCCGCGAAATCTTGCTGAAAGCAACCGCGTTATAGAAACATACGAGCTGGGCAACAAAGATCAGGGTCTGCATAAATAGAATGAGCGGTAAACCTGCTGGGACTAGATTTCCTCCATCCGTCCCTCCGCCGCGGATCCGCATTCGCTGTATTCGACTGTACTGTACTCCATAAGCCAACCATAAAGCTATACTCAGCGTGGTGAATACCAGCGCGGAGGAGTTTACGGACTGTTCGGCATACTCCTGCATTCCGTGCCTTAAATGACAGCGCTTGTAAATATGAGATTCGTTTTACGGTGGCGCCTGGTACAAGAAAATGTACATTTGTTAAATCGCACCTCTATACATACCAACAGGGACCGTTGGATAAGAATTTGTTGACAATCGTCTCAGCGTTTGTCCAGTTAGCAATATTGCTTAATGACAAATTTCGTTGTCGGGCCGAATTCAATAGGATGGGTTCAATCAGATATTCCTCTTGAGCGCCATACGTTTATTCAGCGTCACACACATTTCTAGCTGAGAGTTGCGCCAAAAATCGTAACGGAAACAGGCTGACGGTAAAACCCCCCTATTTCATTATCCATTAATAAACGTTAATGTTATTTTAGCCACGAAGTGAGTAGATTTGAGCGAAAATATTATTTTATACGGAATAGCCACAGCGTAGGTAAAAATAATTCAGCTGGGAGGTTTGAGCGCCATGAAAAGTCGATAGAATTGACGCCATTTTTTTTTATAATTCAGCTGTATCTCGCGCCATTATAGATAGATGTCTTGCGGCATAACTGAACGTTTCGCTAAAAAGGATATATAACAAAATCGATGTATACCCTACAGTAAAAAAGCACAAACGTTTTATATGTTTAGTTGGTTTAGCCTTGACCAATGCCTGTGATACATGTTTCCGTTTGGGTGAGAAGAAAGGTTCGCTGGTAACATGCGTAGCGACGTGACTCGTTCGTGAAATTAGACCGATTCCCAAAGCAGAGGGATTGCTGGAAACTCTGAAGCTCCAGAGTAGCCCGACACTTTACTAGAAGTCAGAACCTCCAAGTCTCGGATCCGACTTCTAACTGAGGCTAAGCGAGCTCCTAGATAATTTGCCACGAGTACCATTATACGAATTCGCTCCCACTATGTATCAGACAATAGGCCTTCAGTAGAGGACTCAATTTTGGGTCCTTAAGGTCTATATGTTGGCGACAACCAAATGTCTTATTTTATGATTATTCTATACCGCGGTGTCTCTTGCTGGTGCATTTTATTGGTTATTTAATAGTTTTCTGAAAATTCTAGCCTTACTTAGGGCTCTGATTTGAATACTCTGACCTAGTAGTTGCTAGCAATAGCGGTTCCCACCGAGCTTTGGCCATCAGTATCGATCATTTTCCATTTCCGGTGGGTTAGCTCGTCTGCAAACGACATGCATGGAGCTACAGCAAAGATTTTCTGAATTTTTCAATAAACATTAAGTATTGTCTGTATCATTCCCAGGCTGGTTACTTCATTCCGAGAGAATACAGAGGATACTAACGCGCAACTCTGTACAACGGGCAGACGAAAGCTGAAAAACAACATATTACTCCTTATGATGGGCTTATTATGGGATTATCAAATGGGCTCCCGCTACTGTGGGATGGATGTGCTGGTCGTGCACGGTATTCTCGTACCTTCACGAGGCCTGTTCATTTAGATTCGGCAGATTGGCCGTTTCCGCACTGTCCATGTCTAGATACACAATTTGGTCTCCACATTTTAGTCTCTGCTCCACTATATCATCACAGTGGCGAAGCTTGAAATAGTGGTCGAAACAAAAGCGTATTGCCGTAAGTATATACGTATCGTCATCAGGCTTGCGGTTACACAATACAGTCACTTGATAGCCGTAAACATTTGATAAAACACTAGAAATATATGCAAGAGTGTGAACAGCTGTCGATGGCGTAAGAGCATTCGCAGCTAATTTGTTGGTTAGATTTACTTCTTCGAACAACGCTATCGTCTTGTCGAAATACTGAGGAACAGAGTTCAGATCATAATGACGCATGCAACATGTCCCGTAACGACGCCAAACTTTACTCCACAGTTTCTCATTATCTGAATCACACGACGGCCAGACTTTGTCCATGTGTTCCTCGTTAAGAGATTTTGAATAGGGATCGAATAAGGGCAATTTTTCACACTTCTCAGCGCCCATAGTCAAGTACCTTATAGTCCAGTCGTCTCTATAACACGAAGTTATGTGCGAGGGATCGCATCTATGGATTGGTCCTAGAACATAGCATACTCCAGGTGTCCATTGAAGTTCAAGGGCAAACTCCAGTTCGTCGACCTTAGACATGCGCCAAATTGGACTCGCATTCATGCACTGCCAGATAAATATCCAAAATTGTAAAAAGAGAATCAGAATGATCAGCCCATCGTATATGGATCGTCTATCAAGCCTATAGATTTCGTTAGGCCCAGCACCTCGAATTCTGCCCCTTTGCTCACGAGCAACTTGAAGGCCATGGAAAAACCATAATGCTGCGCTGAGGCCCACAATCAATAAAGGCATATAGGTTTCCATGAGCTCTACAGTTTTCGGCGTCGAGGTGGGCAATGACCGCTGTGAACTTTTGATCACGGCTCTCAGTACAAGCTATGAAACATTTCTGCATTCATTAGTTGTTTCGTCATCATAACTAGCTAATGGGACCTGTCGAGCTTGCCAGTTAATACGAACGCTATGGTTTGCCAGGTCAAAAACTATAAACATAGAAAAATCCAATTTACAACCATTCACATTTAATAGCCCCGATCGCAATCGGTTTATAGCTTTAGAGATAATTTATGGAAAGGTTTTCTATTCATCCTACGTTTCGAGCTAGCTCCGGAGATCCTTGCAATGATGTATCAACAGTCCTACTATCCTACCACAGCCTGAGGTAAAGTGTTCGCACCTAATGGCATCTTCCGCAGTAGTGTCCTAAAAATCCCGAAACCCTGAAACCGTGAAGCACTTCTGACCGAGGATTAATCAGTGGTCTATTATAGCTGCTTATATCTAGTGGCAAGTTTTTCTGATACACTATTAAACAACAATGAACATATAAACACACCTAGCCTTATTTTAAGGATATCTAACTTAGAACCCCGGGTGTTGCGACATGCGAGGATTGTTAACCCAAATGCATATAATAGACAGATTCTAGTAATGCATATACTAATTCTTCGCAGGCTGCAGTCTACCGTGATGTTTTTTTCGCTTTCCGCGTCGAGGCTCTGAACATATGTAAATGACACTTAGCAAATGTTGTCTCCTACCGCTAGAAAAATGATCCAAAATGTTTAATAATCTACAGGCTCCTGTGCTGTACAGTCCATCCGTTATAGCTGCGTCTGCCACTGTTCCAGTACAAGCACGGCTGTGAGTGCTAGTCGCTAGATGGAATGAGCAGCAAGATGGTTTCATCTTATCGTACAAGTGGATTTAGGCCTGCTTTCCTTTGTTCCGTTTTCTTAATGACGTTAGCTTCCTTAGAACATTCCTATCTTACGCATTGAAGACACTGCCACTGAATATCAGAAAATTAAAGAGGAAAATGAACGTGCGTGCTCAGACGTACCGACATATTGAGTATATGCATCGTTCATATATATGCGTTTCTCTTTCATGAACTTGGTAGTCCGGTTATTTGAAATATATCCGCCTAATAGATAAAGCAATTTTATTTCCCGAGCAACTGCTCAGAAAAGACGTCCGTCTCGAATGGTTCGAATCATCAGTGATTGCACACTATAATTCTCTGATTCGAGCCGGCAGACGCATTGTTTGGAATAGACGATACGTCAATAAATTCAAAGATATGGCTTGTAAAACGCGCATTCGTTTACTGGCCAAGGTGCCGACCCAAACACTCACGTAGCACGATAGAAGAATCTCGTTCACTATGACACAAGAGGAGACATGTCGCTCAAAAAGCCCAAAGAAACTTTCGAATGGTTTATTGTACGACAAAAAATCAGCCACTACACCAAATGCAGGGAAAACATTGTCAGAAATGTGACCAGACATCCAGCGATTTAAGACAATGAAAGGTCTAACAGGCCAACATAGGAATGAGCCAGTTCGAGCTTCGACAATGCAAAAAGAGAGGCTTATGATTATGAAACTTAACGTACGTCGAAATGTAAGTACTTATTCACAGCAAAGAAGTACGAGTCTATAAGACTCGTACTTCATCGAACTTTCTCATTATAGCGATTTACTGTTGTCAGCCGGCGTGCATTAGGTTTTCGATGCGGGAAAAATACGCGCTCTACAATTCAAGCAATGCTTTTTCGATGTCATAGGGCCAGGACAGCCTCCTCTTCTGTCAGTTCCTCTAGCTTTTTCTTGCGTTGAGCTGCGTATTATGCTTGGCAGAAAATGAAATGCGATAATTAGCAGGTCGATGTATGTTCTTCCCTTGTGAAGCCATCGAAGTAAAGAAGATAACTGTATCATTCCAAGTGAACGTCAGACTCTACAGTTCGATCGGTAGACGAATACTTTTCGCGTGCTTTGAAAGCAGTGACTTTTTGTAAACTGCATTCAACCACATATACATCTTTCCGTACGCTGCATGTACGCAGGGATACAGGATAAGCGCATTTGTGCGGCTACGATACTAAACAAATCACTATGTATATATACATTTTGTTTAAATAAACAAAACAGCATCCGCTCTCGTATTCGCATTTGTGGCTATATAAGCACGGTATCGGTGGCCGTGGAACACTCGTCTCAGCCAACAACAGATCTACATTGGTCGAGTTCAATTTATAATCGACGTTGGATCGCTGGCAGGCGGCGATAGAGATTGCGACAGAGTAATTAATAAACCAACGTTGAATGCCAACTAAACGTCACAGGGGGATGACGAACTCTAAAAGCAGATCGTGGACGAAGAGCATTGGATCTAAAGAAATGGAAATGTTTTTATGAATGCCACGTCAACGTCAAGCGCTTCTGTTAGACGGCCTAAATGGTCAGCATAGTTAGAAGCTGCGTATTAGAAAGGCCAAGGCGTTTGGAGCCGCGTGTCGTTTGCTCAGATAAGGCTAACGTGGATCGCGGGACTGCTCCGTGTGTAGGGAGACGGGTTTCCGAACGTGGCATAAAGATGAAACAATGTAAATGTTATCCCTACGTCACTGTATAGGAGCTATTCAACTGTAGGAAAATGCGGACTGCTTGCACGTCATAGGTCTGCAAGATGACTTGATTCCAAGGGCGGGGATAAGAGCGCACCGGCTCGCTGGGTCTCAGTGGTGCTCAACAATATATGTGCTGCAGAGGGTCGGAAAGAAGACCGGTTTTCTCCCATAGAAAACACGCTTTGTCACTTTGGGCGGGAAAAATTACGCTTTACTTGAGAGCTCTGTGTTCCCGGCCTGTCATGGGGGGCATCCAAGCGTCATGAGAACTGTTCACCAATAAAAAAGTGTTTCATGGGCCGGGAAAATTTCGGCTCAAG